GTGATTGGCTTACTAGAATTGGCAGCAAAATGATGTATTCTGCACCTTTTTTATTTTATTGGTCATGGCTGGAGGTATGAGTACGACACTAAGCTGACATGGCAGTATCTTGAAGGCACTAGAAGATTCTGGAAATAAGTTTATTGAGCACGATTATGGAGAGAGGTTTTAGGATTTTCAATTTCTTTGAATTGATTTTAAAACATTTGAATTGAAATTATCACTTAGGATTATTTAGGATTTTTATTTTGAATTATATTTGTTATTTTTAAGAAATCACAAACCTATAAATACCCTTGCATGAGTAAGGCCGAAACAATCTATGAATTACTTTATTTTTGCATTTTTATTTGTCAATCGAAGTTTCTTTTTCTTTTCTTACTTTATTTTCAAATCATTTTTATTTTGCAAACTATGCTAAGTATAATCAACCATATCATGCTTATTTAATTTCTTTTAAACCGAGAGCTAGTACAAATCAATTCAATGCGTGAGAATTGAACATCGCTTAAATCCCTTCAGGATACATTTTCGTCTTTCTGATTAGATAGTTTGAAAATCGACCTTACTACAATTTTAAATATTTTTCAAATCAAAAAGAGGTCGTTGGTCTGGATATCATTTAAATACAGTTGGGAGGAAGGATCAGCCTGTGACAATTCAACTTCCTGTGAAAACTCTTAGCAGTTGTCCGCTAAGGAAATACGAGATCGGATTCGATTCTCGACGAGACAAAATATCCGAGTCGGGCCTTTCCAGTTTAATTTTGATTGTTTTAACGACAATAAATGTGGTTAATCCACTCAAGAATAGTCTTTCAAAGATAGACTTGGGAAGATCAGTTACATGAGAGAAGGGCAAGTTACAATGGGTTGGGCCTTGTAGACTGTAACCTACATGAATCCCAGAGCAAAAATCCTTTTCAATGATCACATGAATTGAATCAAGTTAGCTCGAGGCGATTTTCATTTATTTGTGATTCATGTACTTTATTTCATTTTTCTTCTGATTTACTGTTTTTCTTAATTTTATTTTGGATTTATTTTTTAAGGGTTGACTACTTCAAATACCACTCACGTTTAAGTACAGACTCGTTTATGTCACTGACGTTTCAATTTTGCCAATTTTAACACTGACGCTTATGTTTAGCTGTAATTATGCCACTCCATCGTTAATTCGTTAACGGAGTGATGACATGGTATTGGTATCTCTGTTTCGTGACGGCGATGACATGGCTCTCCCATCAAAACGATGTTGTTTTGGCACGACTGTTTTGATGCTCAAAAAGCTCAAAACGACGTCGTTTTGTTGATGAAAAAAAATATTCATGAGATTCGAATCGTAGACCTTTAGAATCCAAAGGTAAATATGCAACAACCAAGCTAACATAAAAACTTATTACAAACTTAATAAAACTATTATAAATGTTAAATAACAGTTTGAATTTTTTGAGCTGACAACACATAAATATGCCTTCAAATGATTTTGTTCGTTTTAAGACCAACAAAATAAAGCTGGCAAATACTTGGTCAGTAGCATAAGCTTTTCTTTTCCCCTATAAAAACACTTTAAATCTCTGCAATCCGAAGCACACAACATCTTCAATAGATTTCACTTTTATAATTTTCAACAGTGCTTTTCTTTAGTTTGAGTTAGTCGGGAAAAATGGAGGGAAGCAAAATAGCCATTGCCTGCATTATGGTTGTTGCTGTATAGGCCAATAGAGCAACTGCTTTGAGGGAAGACCATGGTGCAATCGAACCATCACCGATGGAAAGTACGGGTGTGGCTCTGGGTGTTCCTGCTGCTGCTGCACTAGCTGCCTTGGCTTCTATGGCTGCATACTTCTTTTGAAGTTCATTCCTTTGTGTTTATTTCTCTTCTAATTCCTTGGTGAATATTGTTTTTTGGCTTTTGATTCCATTTGTGGTTTTTGGTTCTGTTGGTTAATTACTGTAATGGCTGCATGGTTCTGTTTGTTTACCTTCTTTCTTACTACAAATAGATGCTTAGAATTCGATCCACAGTACTAAACCATTGAAATCATAAGCTCCAAAGGTCCATAAAACAATAGCTTACAAGTCGCTGAATAATGGGTTTAATTTTTTTTATTCATAAAAACTAAAAATTCAAACTTTTATTTAACATTTATAATAGTTTTGTTAAGGTTGTAACAAGTTTTTAAGTTAGCATGGTGGTTGGTATTTAGTTTTGGATTCTAAAGGTCTACAGTTTGAATCCCATGAAAAGCATTTTTTTCCATCAACAAAACGACGTCGTTTTGAGCTTTTTGAGCATCAAAACGGCCGTGTCAAAACAACGTCATTTTGATGAGGGAGCCATGTCATCGCCGTCACAGAACAGAGATGTCATGACATCTCTCCGTTAATGAATTAACGGCGGAGTGACATAATTGCAGCTAAACATAAACGTTAGTGTTAAAATTGGAAAAATTAAAACGTCAGTGACATAAATAAGTCCGCGCTTAAAGGTGAGTGGTATTTGAAGTAGTTAACCCTTTTTTTAATTTTCTTTCTTTCTTCTTATCTAAATCATTATCCCCTTTTTATTTTTTTATTTAATTACTACTTCTGGATTTGAACTAGAAATTTATTTGCATAGAAATTTCGTATTTTTCTTGTAGATCGACCCTCTTTCTATACTACATTTTATTTTATTTGAAGATGATATTATTATTTTTGAGGAGTAAAACGACTTTTGTCAACGTGGCGAGTTGGGTCTATCTAATAATTGTTTTCCTAAATAAGAATTGTTCTCAAATCTAATTTATATTTCCCTTTAACAAAATAAGTTTATTTTATGATTTCGCATGCTATTGATAGATTTTTAAGATATTTTTCACATTTTTTTAAAACTTTTACTATTTTTTTCTGAAAGCATAACTATGATAAATTCATTTAATAAAAAAAAATCATCAGCAATGTTTTGCTAAATCCATGATGGACAAATACATTTATAACTATCATAAGTAAAATATAATAGTGATCAACTAGTGATTGTCTGATGAATAGGATTGTGAACAATTGAGGCAATGACATACATAAACATATCAATCTGACGTCCCCGACCACCTCACATAAAGGAGAAAAACTTGAAGAATATCCAAAGCGGACAAATAAAAAGTCAATTTCCACTTAACTGTAATCTCATTCGGCGTAGATATCCGACAACCAAGGGAACATCATATACAGACAAACGAAGAAACCATATATCCAGAAAGCAATGAAACAATAAATCATGTAGAACCACAGACCTAGAAGAAGACCAATAAAATAAACATGTACCGAAAGTTCGAAAATACTGATAGCCATGATAATTTTACTAGAGAAAGAGTTAAAAGAAAATATTATTATAAATATATTAAAACACAATTGAAAATTAATAAAATCAGACAATAATCAATTGGAAAAAATGATAAAAATGATAGGAAATTGGTCGTGGGAAACCATCATCGTTGGCACAAGAAAATTGTGGTAATCAATTAATGGGAAGTAACAGAGAATTGTGATAACCTACTTTAAAAATTGTCCGAATGATTATAAGCTAAAATCTGTTAAGAATTTTCTCAATCTCTAAAGAGAATAACACTAATTACAAAAGTTAAGACTAATTATAGTAAAAAAAATTTGGATCAATTTTGGGTTTGGGTTGAAAGGTCCAACCATCCATAATCGAACATAGTTCAAGCCCATATGAGAGGTAACGTTCGTTGCAGCACAAGAAACTCAAAATTCTTTATTAATTTCTTTATTTGTGGAAGGTTTGACACTCGTCTAAGTTCAACCGATCAGTTAATTCTTTGGGTTGAGTATTAAATTGATCAAATCTATCATATTTAGGGTTTATCATATTTCTCTCTCTTTTTGTTTAGTTGTCGTTAGTCTCTTTTCTTTTTCATTGTTGTGATCGGCAGTGGCACCAGTTTTGGTATTGATTGTCAATCGTTGGGATTCATTGTTTTTCCTTTGTTTTATTATGGTGTATCTTTATTTTTTTTCTTTTTTTATTTAAATAATTTTGTATTTATGACATATCTTCTTTTGCTTTTATGGCATGTTTTTCTTAGTTTTTATGGCACGTTTTACGTCATTTGGTTATTATTTTTTGTTTATTCTTTTTTAGGGTTGGTTTTGACATCGCTATGACTGATCAAAATGACACTTTATTTGTTATCATGTTGATATTTCTTGCTTTGATCTCTCGGACTGGATTTGGATACACTATTTGCATTCGTGGATAATATTTTCACGTCAATCAATTCTGATTTACTATTTGTCGATTGCCTTTCAATAGTTTTCCCCCCTTTTGTGGTTCTTTTGCCGATGCAATCAAATATGTTTGTTCTATCTTTTATTTGAGTTTATTTGATTAGGTTTTTTAACCTTTCCTTGTATGGTCCTTGTGATCTTAAGTGACTAGTTTCTCGTGTTTAGGAAAATATATTTATTGTGTGCTTAGTTTACGATCACTACAACAAAACAAGTATATAGCAATGTTTGTCGCGACGTTTTCAAAGTAAACGCCACTAAATTTATACATATCGCGGCGTTTATATCCAAAACGCCACAAAATGGTAACATTTAAGGCGTTTTTCCATAAACACCACTAAAACTCGTACTTTAGCGGCGTTTATTTCTCAAAGGCTGCTACATATAAGTGCTTTAGTGGTGTTTTTAAACAAATGCCACCACAGAATCTTACTTTAGTGGCGTTTCTAAACAAACACCACAAAATAATCATTCTTTAGTGACCTTTTTTAAACAAACGCCGTAATAGGGTACATACATTTTGGTGTTTTTAGACAAACGTCACTACAACCTAGTACTTTAGTGGCGTTTCTAAACAAACGCCACAAAAGAATAGTTCTTTAGTGGTGTTTTTGAAACAAATGTTGCAATAGTTCGGAACGTTTGTGGCATTTTTTTAAAAATACCGTAATATGTTAAACCGTTAGTGGTGTTTTATTTGAAAATGCCGCGATGGTTTGTTCTTTAGTTGCGTTTGTTTTGAAAAATGCCATAAAATTTTATAAAACCCCCTATTTTTTCTTATGCCCGATCCTTAATTTTTTTTTATCTTCTTTAACCTAAATTCTTCCTCTATTCTTAGCTTTGCATCTTCATCAAATCAGAGCAGCAGTCACTGCCAGTCACGCCTCCGGTCACCACTATCGCGCCATCAGTCACCACTATCGCTCCTCCATCACTCCTCAAGGTTCAAAATTAGGTACTCTTTTATTCCTCAATTGTTGTTTGTTGCTGTCTACAGTTCAGCGGTCTTCAAGCCGCTAGGAAGGAAGGTCGAGCTGGTGATGTTGCAGTGTTAGAGGCACAAAAGCGGCCAGGCAGGAGACCATTCCCACCATCGGCGAGAGGTCCGCCTCCGGCCCCTCACCCTCGCTTTGAGCCTGTTGATCGCGAAAAGGCACCCCTCTCTATTTTTTTTTCTGTTTCTATATCCCTAAATAATTGAAATTATAGGGTTTCAAAGCTCTTAATCTACGTATTCTTAATTTGGGAATCGCAAATCTGTGATTGATGGATAACTTAATTATCTTTCAATGCTTAACTGCTCAGGTTGATTTAATATTTTTTGGTTTTAATTATGTGTCACTCATTAAGCCACATCTTTAGGGTTATGATCATTTTTTTCCTTCTGTAATGCAGACTTGTCCTCTCTTGCTTCGAGTTTTCACTAAGGTATGTTACTTTATTTTCATAGCTTAATAAGTCGATTACATGCTCAAGCTGCTACGGTCTTGGGATGCGATTTTTTATCCTTGTAGTTTCAATTTGTCATTATCTTTTCTATCTTGGGTAAAATCTGCAAATCATTTTGGATTTTCCCATCACTTTGATTGTTCCTTGAGCCATAGAAACCAACATTGTTGTCAGCGAAGTTGGTTTATGGAGTATATTTGAAATCTGACCTTCGGTATCAATATTAGGAACGTTAAAATTACATTTATAGAGCAAGCTATCTGCAGGACACTTGGTGAAGTTTTTCTTTCCTGCGAAGATGCTCTTGGCAAGAGCTGTAGCATGCAAGAGATTTAGGCATGTAATAGAAGGAGCTTCCTCTTCAAGCCGTATTTCCCATTATGTTTTTGTCCTGATGCAATGTTATTTTTTTACATATTGAAAGTTCTTCAAACTTATGATAACTCATTGGTAAATCCACAGATTGGGTGGTCATCATTCTAAAGAAGATTTTGCGGTGAGAGGCAAGGAGCCCAAGGATGAGGTTCAGATTTATACATGGAAGGATGCTACACTTCGCGAGTTGACTGATCTGGTATGTCAATAATGTTAATGTAGTTTGTTAAACTGCCTGTCTTGTATCAACTTTATTGGTAGTTTTGTCTTCAACATTCTCTTTATTTATTCATCAGTCTTTCCACTTTCAACCCTGTTGATTCTACTTCTTGTACAGGCGGAGGTAGCTCCTGCAGCAAGGAGAAGAGATGCAAGACTGTCCTTTGTATTTGTATATCCTGACAAGAATGGCCGTTTTGTGGTGAGAGAGGTTAGTTTTTTTTTTCTCTTCTCCATAATTTTGACTCCTTCCATATCCTGACAAGAATAGTCTTATGATTAATACCATTGTGAGATTAATTTGTATCTTGGCTTTAGACACCTTGCGAGACCAAACTATGTCAGATTAATAACACATTAGCAACGACTCGTTTGCATTATAATTAAAAGTTATGAACTTATGATGAGATGAACTTACACATCTAATCAATGAGGAGTTAAAAAAGAGAAAGCACTGCAATTAATCTTGTAAATGTGATTTTTTTTTAAATTTTCTCAAACTACTTTCTAGTTAATTATGTTGAATTACATTACATTTTACTTGAATGTTTGTAAACTTTGATTTATTCATTAAACTATTTTTTACTTAATCCGAGTCGTAATTAAATTTTAAGGTGGTTGTTATTGGATATTGCTACATTATATTAAATTTGGGTAATAAATAATAGAAAATAACATTTGCAAATCATGTTGATTTAGCGGCATATTAAGATAAAAATCAGTTCTAATAGCGGCATTTGTATAATAAAACGTCACTAAATCCATAGTCAATACAGGCGTTTGTAAAATAAAACGCCACTAAATTTCAAGATCTTTTGCGGCACTTATATAGAAAATGCAACTATATGCATAATCAATAGCGGAGTTTTACATTCACAAACGCCATTAAAGAAAAAGATAAATAGAAACGTCACTAAAGATCATAACTTTTAGCGGCGTTTGCTTTTGCGCAAAAGGGTTTTTAGTGGCACTTAAAAACACCGCTATATGAAGAAAAAAAAGGCTAAAAACATGTTTTGTTGTAGTGGATTGTAGTTGTAAGCTTTTATTGTAATTTGAATATTTTTTATTTTTAAGAAAATTAGCGACTTCTATAAAAAAATTGATAAAATCTATAAATGTATAGGGAAAATTATTAAAAATATTTAAAAATAAAGTCAAAATATGAGGATATATAAGTGTTGAGGAGTAAATATGTTATTATATTGATTAAAAATATAGACCGAAACATGAATACAGTAATAATTGGGTGACTAACCATCTAGTTTACCCTATTAATGACACGAACTGCTGACGAGGATCAAATTATGCCAATTTAATGTAAAATTATTATTTTTCACATTTTAACATGTACAATGAAGGGACTATAACCATAATTAAACCAGCGTTTGGTTCATAAATCATAATTCCACACGCAATGGTTAACTTCCAAGCTTCTTACATGGATGTTGATATATCTATCTTATCTAAAACTCTCGTCTTAATAAAGGCTTAAACCACACTTTTCTTCAATATTTTCTCCCCCCCCCCTGTCGGAGGTGTTTCTTGCATTTATAAAGCTTGTCATTTCTGTTATTTTATGGAAGAAAAAAGGGTAAATTACATGTGTAGTCACTAAACTATGAGAGGTTGTATTTTGATTATTGATTCAATCAAATCAATTAACTATTCAATCAAAATACAAGCTAATAGCTTTTTGTATTCAATCATCAACGAGCAGAACAATTGTTTCAAAATCATACCTAATGTTATATTTTAGTCACCAACTGTTAAAAAAATTAATGATGATACTGACATGTTACCATAAGAAAATGTCAGTCATCATTAAATTTTTTAAAATTTAACGCGAGCAATTTGTTAATTTTACGGAGGATGTTCAAAATGAAACTAAAACGTAACATTAAGTATGATTTTGAAAAATAAAAGTTGGGTGACCAAAACAAAACAAAAATGAAAGTTAGAGTTTTAAATGTGTAGCTTACCCAAAATAATTGATATAATTTTTTTTAACAATTCGGGTTATTAAAAAAAGAATTGATATGAGCTTGAATTTAAGAAAAAAATTGTAACCGATTAGTAACCACAGCCTGATTTAAAAAACTTACGTATAGGCCTTACTTGTTTTCTTTAATTAAAATCTGACCAACAACTCACATAGAGACCGTATGAATGGAGGAGCAGCAATGAAAACCAAAGTGGCTCTGGTCCCAGGCCTCTCTTTTGTCTTCATTAACCTTCCGGTATCGGTCGTCGTCAGTTGGGCTAAATATGTCGGGTGTGTCCCTAGCTAGCCAACCTACCTCCAAACCTTTGCACCCAAACAAAAAGAACAACCCTGAGCGTCCCATGACATGTTTCTTACATCTTATTGGCCCTCCCACTTTTCACTTCATCATCTTGTGTCATGTCATCATTGGTTTTGATTAGTTTCTTAAATTCAACTCGGTTTTATTCGAATTTGAATATTGATAAAAATGATTTGGTTAAACAAAATCTAAAGGGCACTCTTCATAAGCATTTTGTACTTGCAATTTAGTAAAGAGAATCAATTTTCCAGTAAAAAGGGAAGGTTCTTAACTTTCATATATTGATGTCAATGGCAGTGATTTACAAACAAAAATAAGAGTTCCCCCCATTGAAGTAAAATTTCAAGTCTTTTTTTTTCCCAAGAGCCTTAACAATTTCCATACGTACCTTCCCCTCCATGCACCTCCAAGCACTACCTGGACAAGTTATATGATTGAGAGTAGCCAAATTGCTCCATCTCCCAACTCAACTTTGAAGGAACACTTTCATGGCAGGGCACATATTCCTGCAATATTAAGTATCCATGGGTTAATGAGACGTTCAATGCCGGACCACCGGTTAATCGGATACTAGGTATAATGAAAGTGTAGAGTATGTGAAGAGGTTTCATTAGTTTATTATACCTCCAATTGTTTTACTAACTCTTTAGCCGTGGGTGAAGAGACAATGATTTGGCGTGCACTCGGACTAATAAATCCCTCTTCCACGGCTTTATCGATGAACGAAAGCAATGAGTTATAGTATTCATCGACATTCAGTAAGCCAACCTGAAAAAGATTTGTGGAAATTTATGCATTTATTTATTGTTAAGTCCCATGGATGATGGTCAGTTTGTAAGGGGGAAATGGGACATACCGGTTTATCATGTATTCCTAGCTGAGCCCAAGTAATCACTTCAAGCAATTCTTCAAGAGTTCCATATCCACCTGCATGAATTTCATGAGTTACCTTTATCCATTATACTTTTTGCAACCAAATCACATTATTCGGACTCGGGTGTAAATATCGAATATGAGTATGCATAGATGCCTTTTAATTGGACAGAACAACATTTATGGATGGCTAACATGATTTGAAAGACAAGAAGACACATAAGGGTATTCAAAAGCAGTGACATCTATGATTCACTTTTATCCAATCAAACTCAAGTGAGAAAAAGGGCTGGGGCAGATAATATGATTAAAACAACTAGATTTAAGGTTAGTTTGGATTATTAAATTCAGCATATGAAAAGGGTAAATAATATGAAGTGTAGTGCAATTCCTATGACTGAGTAATGATGAGGATTATTAAAGAGCAGTTCAAGTTCATGGCATGCACAACAAGTTCCTTAACTATCATTTACCCCATCTTTTTGCTCCACATTCCAAAAGAAAGGCCTTTATTGTTCCCTCCCATCTTTTGTGAAAAAAGAGGCATAACTCTCTCTCTTCCTGTTCATTCATGCCACAATGCCTCTCATTCTACATTATTATCACCTTATCAGGGTATCAAATAGCGTTCCAAAAACGTTATAGCTGCCGCGATATTACGGTCGCGTCACCGTCCGAAACCGCTATTCATGATTTTTGCGATGGGTCACGGATTCACGCTGATCGCGGTCGATTGCACTCGTAATTTAACGGGAAACGGATGATTGCGCCGATAACGGGACGCAACAACCGTTATTCAACCGTGATTCCAAAACAAAATCAAAAACCAACCTTCCCCGCATTGATTCTCCGGTTACGAGGGAGGTAACAGGATCTTTGAGCTTCAAAGAAGAGAATACTCTTACTCAAATCTTGGTTGTAGTCATGACCAACAAATATAAAAGAAAGGTAAAATAGAAGAAACAAAAGAGCCATTGAAAATGGACGATTTCAAGGTTTGTGAAAAGAAAGAAAAAAATTGAAAGGAAGAAGAAGCAGCCGTGGGGGAGAGAAAGAAGAGTTAGAATAGGATTTAAAGCAATTTTGGTATAATTTCCAGTTGATCCCTGATCTTATTAGAGTTTTATAATATGATAACACGTTTTACATTATTTTCAAATTAGCTACCAAAATTAATTTGGGGATTTAGAAAAAAAATCTCAAATGTTAGGATTTTTAATTAGGGATAAATTAGGGTGTTATACTAATTTTCTATGAAGTATTAACTTTATTTATGATTTTTCACACCTATTTATAATTTAAAAAAATTTTATATGCCGTTCCCGTATCCTTTAATTTTAGAAATTACCGTTTTTCGTCCCTGTATCTGTGTCTGTATCTGTATTAGTGCAACATAGGGCAGAAGGCCAGAACCATTTTTGTTTCAGATAATGATGGGGAAGGAGGAAGGGGAGGAGGAAGGGAGAAGCAGAAAGCAAGAACCAGAAAGGTCGGGAAAGGGGAAGCAAAAAGGTTGGGGAAGGGTGGACGGGTGATTTATTTCTTTTTTTTAATATTTTTTAAAATATAATTTTAAAAGATATATTAATTTGAGATCCCTACCACTTTTAGAATTTATAATTTAATCCCTAGTTAAAATGTAAACTTTAATTTTTATTTAATTTAGTCTTAATTTCAGTAATCTAAATTTATTCAATTTAAATTTTATAATTATATTTAATTTAGTCATTTTAAGGTAAATTGTGCGACATTTAAAAAAATTCACGACCGCGATACCCGCAATGACCGTAATGACATCCGTTATGTCCGCAACCGTGATAAACGTGACACGACCGAAAACGTGACCGCGAACGTTATTTAAAACCCTGCACCTTACATAGATTTTATCCCATTTGATTTATCATAATGACCGAGTTCCCATTGCTGGAAATTCAAAGTTTGCTGAAAAAGAACTAAAAGGAGTAGCCTTTTGAAACAGGTAAACAAGATTCCCTTTTAAATGCAGGTGCTAGTTGGCAAACACTCTTTAGTGAAAGTTTTAAGGATGTCCTTACTACTTACACCCCTAATACGGTCAGGGAAAAAATAAAGGGAAAGAGAGTTCCTCAGAAAGGTCTAATTTTCAGTGTCAAGATGTTGATAGATCAAGAACTAGGGTCTGAAGGGCTAATCTTTAACCATGGGACCTTGGGGGTCTGTGTTGTAAGTGAAAGACTCAAAAAAGTTGTGATAATTTCATTAATTTCAGGCATCATGTAGTTGCTTTCAGCATATAGCAGGTACCAAAAATAGCCAGCAGTATCAAAACTACAGCAACACATGAGATATGGTCAAATTTGCATGCTGAAATTGAAGTAAAAGGACTAACTAGCTTCAGTTTCTTTTTTCATTGATAGTATGATTAAAACAACTAGATTTAAGGTTAGTTTGGATTATTAAATTCAGCATATGAAAAGGGTAAATAATATGAAGTGTAGTGCAATTCCTAAGACTGAGTAATGATGAGGATTATTAAAGAGCAGTTCAAGTTCATGGCATGCACAACGAGTTCCTTAACTATCATTTACCCCATTTTTTTGCTCCACATTCCAAAAGAAAGGCCTTTATTGTTCCCTCCCATCTTTTGTGAAAATAGAGGCATAACTCTCTCTCTTCCTGTTCATTCATGCTACAATGCCTCTCATTCTACATCATTATCACCTTACATAGTTTTTTTCCCATTTGATTTATCATAATGACTGAGTTCCCATTGCTGGAAATTCAAAGTTTGCTGAAAAAGAACTAAAAGGAGTAGCCTTTTGAAACAGGTAAACAAGATTCCCTTTTAAATGCAGTTGCTAGTTGGCAAACACTCTTTAGTGGAAGTTTTAAGGATGTCCTTACTCCTTACACCCTTAATATGGTAAGGGAAAGAGAAAGAGAGTTCCACAGAAAGGTCTAATTTTCAGTGTCAAGATGTTGATAGGTCAAGAACTAGGGTCTGAAGGGCTAATCTTTAACCATGGGACCTTGGGGGTCTGTGTTGTAAGTGAAAGACTCAAAAAAGTTGTGATAATTTCATTAATTTCAGGCATCATGTAGTTGCTTTCAGCATATAGCAGGTACCAAAAATAGCCAGCAGTATCAAAACTACAGCAACACATGAGATATGGTCAAATTTGCATGCTGAAATTGAAGTAAAAGGACTAACTAGCTTCAGTTTCTTTTTCAATGATTTTGCCTTTGGTTTATGCTAACCTGGTAAGGCAATAAAAGCATCTGAATGCTTAGCCATCTCAGCCTTCGTTTGATGCATATCTGCAACAGCCTTCACTTCCCCTTCTGTTTCACCACTTAACTGCAAAGTTTTTTCATAGAAAAACACATAAGAGTACTGAAACCTAGACAGAGAGAGAGAGAGAGAGACAATAAAGAGAGAAAATAGAGACATTTGGAGTATTGTGCAGTGAAGCAATGATGAGAGTTTGCACGCATAGATGACATGATTCAAAGAGTTCAATTCTGAGAATTGTCCCTATCCAATACATGTTTTAGCCTACATAAATGCCAACCCCCTCTCCCCAAATTTTAGAAAAGGCCAACAAAGAAAAAACAAAAAAGAAAAGAAAGCAAATTTATATTATGATCCCATTACAGGAAACGAAAAAGGTAAAGTGGCAAGTTGCAATTATCATTATCAAGTCTTCTTCAAAGAACCAGAGAAATGTAGAAAGACAATAAAATATTAAAAAAGTTAGTGGTGAAAAAGAATACAAAACAGAAAAGTTAGACCAATCAAAGTGATGGAAATTTAGAGGAAATCAGAAGCAAAAGCAAAGAGAGAAAACAATATTTGAAATGAAATGAAAAAAAAACACCATGGATGATGAAAAGATAGCAATTTTTTATTAAAAAAAATGGTGAAAAACGTGCAGCAGACATACCTCTCGAGGCATAAGCGTCTTGGGAATAACTCTGCAGTGAGAGAGAGAGAGAGAGAGAGAGAGTAACATGACAAACAAATCAGTTGTAATAGAACCCAAAACTAAGAACAGTTATATAATGAGGAAGACAACAGAACTATTTCAATGAATTTGTTTCTTAAGAACATGTTGGGAATATTGTCTTAGAAAATGAGGAAACTTAGAGATTACCCAATGACATGGCGGCCACCATCATGAACAGCTTGTGAAACCAATCCCATCAAACCTATGCTTCCTCCTCCATAGACCAGATCAATGTTCCTTGAAACCTGCAAAACAATAGAATGGAACAAGGCTTAGAATGAAAGACTTTGGAGTACTAAAAGGAAGGAATGTGACTATGGTTCAAAGCTCAAGGATGTTATCTTCAATGCACTCATTTGAGAAAATCAATGTTTCTTCAGAGAACGTTCATAAGACTACCCAACAATAATATTGAAAATGATGTTTTTTATTTGGTGTGGGTGTTTCATTCAACGCATTATTACTTGTTTGTTCATTAAAATTTCCAAACTTTTAATAATTTAATGGGGTTCCAGAGAAGAACAGTGCCCTTCTTTTCTACCTCATGAATAGACATTTAGAAAAAGTTGAAAAATGATTGAAACTTCCCACAAGGTCTATGGAGAAAGATGCTTACAGAAAGCTTAGAACTTGAGGAGTTTTGAAAATGTCAGTTACCATAAACAAATTCGCAAACATGTTACAAACACTATACGAAACAAAAGTTTACGGCTTTCACCAACTTTCAGAACCCATTTTCCTCCATATCAGTTAAAAGGAACATGTTCCTAACAGCAAAAACATTAAAACAAGTTCTATTTTGTGTAAAGAAAACTAAAAGAAACAGAGAAAAAAATGGGGGGGGGGGGAAGGGACAGCTTTTTGTTAACTACCAATTCTCTGCCAAGCTCTATAGCAGCATCTTGATAGCTACTCTTCTTGCCCTGGCTACTTCCACAAAACACACAAACCCTCCTGAATTTTGACTGCTGTGTTTCACTCTCCATCTCCATTAACTATATAACAAGCTTCTTTGTTTATGTATACTTTGGATTCACTTTCACCATTGTTTAAAAAATCGAACTAGAGTTCGAATCGACTAGACATTGAAATCTCAATTGAATCGAATTATTTAATTATCTTAGTTTGAAATAGATATAATGTCAAAATTAGAATGATCATTTAGATTTCTATTTTTTTGGCATTTTATCTTCCAATGTTTCAGTTTAGTTCAAAAAGACTTCTAATATTTGATTGGATTGTCACTTTAGCCTTTGTTCTTTATTTCTAGAACATTTTGTCTCTTGACGTTTCATTTTAAGATAGAAAGACTCATATTTTGGAGTGTTAACCGTTTATTAGTTAACGATTTTCATCTATAGAGGATCTTTTTAGTCCAAAATGAAACATTGAGAAATAAATATTTTTAAAGAAAAAAATATGACACAAAATAGTTATTTTAATAAACATTAGGGACTCATTTTAAAGTTATGCCTTTAAATAACAACTCCCCCACTCATCTTAAAACAAATCCCTTTTGCTAATTTCTTCTTTACCTTTTATGGTCATCTGTTGTATTAGCTCATTCTCATATTTTTTTAGTTAAATTGCCAGGATTGTTGGAACTGAACCTATATATATACATATATATAGTATGTACATAAATAGTATATGGGTGTTATTATATTTAACATTCCCAATCCCCAAAATTGGCCTTTCTAGCTGTTCTTTTGTGGCTACCCTTTTCTTTTTGTTTTGTCGGACTGATTCCTGCCCACTAGCTATGTTTAGAGATTATAAACTCATTATTACTATCCCTTAACAGGCCATTAATTAGCGGTCACACATACATATAATATTCTATAAGTATCAATTAATTAATGGTGAGGTTCTGCATGCTTGCATGCGCATTTAACTCATGTTTTCGTGTTTAGCGAACCCGCTTGTATAGGCAATTGTACTATCTACTTTGACCAACTATTTCTCCTCACTTAACACATCAATACGTATGCATGTCGTATTTTGTAAATGTTTTCATGTTATTAGAATCTAAATGTCCGACATCAATATATTTTAATGTGAATACTTGTTATATTTAACCCTCTCCGATATTTAATCTTAACTTCGTCCCTAGTAACATACATTAAATTTAAATAAAATTTTTAATATTTACATATCTTATCTTTTATCTTGAATTAGATTTGTTTATGTGTTTTTTGTAATGTAAGAATCTAACATTATCTCTATCTCATTCGACTCTACTCGACTTGATTGATTCCTTTATTATGCTCCATTTTCAAAGGTGGGATTTGCATGTTGGTTTTATGAATGTTTTTGAGTAGGAAAGGAAGACATGCAAGAATGATGAGATATCCTAAAACTTTGTAGTCACTCCTTAATCCCTCAAATGGAAAAGAATTATGCAGGCTTAGTCTCCTTAGATTAAGGACAAGTCTTTTATTGAGGTAAGCATTTGAGTATGTTTGGTTCACGTTATATAATATATAAATAGATGTTATGTTGCGGAAGACGGCTATCGGATAGAGCAAAATCGCAATTGATAATTTGAGAAAATAAAAATGAAGATAAAAGAGACACAAAATTTACGTGGAAAACCCCTAAAAAAATAGGGTAAAAACCACGGGCAACGGTAGAAGAATTTCACTATGAGAAAATAGGAATTACAACCTCTCTCGATCTACCAAGGAGAAAACAATGATAATTCTCTCTAGATAAAAAGGAGAAAACAACTCTCAAGAAACTCTCTAAAATCTCTCTAGTATTGGAAGAAAGCTAGAATGTTTTGGGATGGTTTTGAAGCTAAATGAGCTAGGGTATTTATAGTTGAAGCTTTAAGAACTAATTTGTAAATACCCTAAATTACAATGACTAATTGCATAGTTTTACCATCCAAAATTTTCAACAATTTGGTGGCCAAATTTTGACCAATTTTGCCACCCCATTAATGCCACCAAATTGCCACCCATAATGTTGACAATTGATGCAATTTGGTGTGCCAATTTTCAACAATCTCCCACTTGAAGATTTGATTGGAACAATCATATCTTCACACCATTCTTTCTACCTTGTACCTTTCATGTTGCTTACGTTTCTGACAGGCCACAGGAGGATCGATACCAGGTAAATTTATCAGCATTGATTGCCTTCGTCATGAAATCTGCTATGTTGTCTTTGGTATGGATCTTCTACATATCTACCGTTCCTTCTTCCACCTTTTCACGAATGAAATGGTACTAAACTCGTATGTGCTTAGTCCTTGAATGAAATGCTGGATTCCTTGCTAGATGCAAGGTGCTTTGACTGTCACAAAACAGAGAGACATACTCTTGATTGTGCCCAAGCTCCTCCAATAGCATCTTCAACCAAATTGCTTCTTTACTGGCTTGTGTAGCTGCTACATATTCTGCCTCTGTTGTGGACGTAGCCACAACTGACTGCAATTTTGAAACCCAGCTTACAGCTCCACCAGCAACTTTGAACACATATCCTGTAGTAGATTTGCTTTTATCCAAATCCCCTGCATAGTCAGAATCTACATACCCATTGATTAGTAAGTTTGATCCTCCGTAACATAATGTAACATTTGAGGTCCCTTTGATGTATCTTAGGATCCTCTTTACAATATTCCAATGCTCTTTGCCTGGATTCGCCATGTACCGACTAACCACTCCCACTGCTTGTGCAATGTCTGGTCTTGTGCATATCATAGCGAACATTAAACTTCCCACTGCTGATGCATACGGTACTCGAGACATCTTCATCCTCTCTTCTTCACTGCTAGGACTCATACTGGAGGATAATTTGAAGTTAATAGGAAGAGGGGTAGAAATTGGCTTACAATCTTGCATGCTAAATCGTGACAAGATTTTCTTCAAGTAATTATTTTGTGAAAGCCAAATCTTCATATTACTTCTGTCTCGGTGAATTTGCATCCCTAGAATCTTGTTTGCTGATCCCAAGTCCTTCATTTCAAATTCCCTAGCCAGTTGTGCCTTCAATTCTTCAATATGATCTTTGTTGGGTCCTGCAACCAACATGTCATCCACATACAACAGCAATATAACAAAATCGTTATCACCAGACCTCTTGAAATAAGCACAAGGGTCTGCATTAAGTCTGTTGTATCCAAGGCACATAATGAAGGAATCAAATCTCTTATACCAACACCTCGGTGCCTGCTTTAGACCGTACAGAGATTTGTTCAACCAGCAAACCAAGTTCTTCTTTTCGTCTTCTTCAAAACCTTCAGGCTGGAGCATATAAATCTCTTCTTCAAGATTTCTATGAAGAAAAGTTGTTTTAACATCTAGCTGTTCCAAATGTAAATTCAATGTAGCACACATTGCCAAGACTACTCGAATTGTTGTTAGTCGAACCACATGAGAAAAAATTTCATTGAAATCAATACCTTCTTTCTGAGCATATCCTTTGACCACCAGTCTTGCACGATACCTCTCCACTTGATCGTCACCATTTCGCTTGATTTTAAAAACCCATTTGTTACCAATTGGCTTCCTTCCTTGTGGTAGTGGCACAAGGTCCCATGTATTATTTTTATGAAGGGCTTCGATTTCTTCTTGCATCGCCATCATCCACAGTGAAGCATCTGAGCTGTTTATTGCCTCCTGGTATGTTGATGGCTCACCGTCCTCTGTTAAAACGCAGTATGCAATATTACCTTCTATAACATAATCTGAGTGCCAATTGGGACGTCTTCTCACACGATCTGATTGACGAGTTGTTGGAGCTTCAGAACTCTCTGGTCCTTGTTCATCATGTGCTGGTTCTGCTTTAGAAGAATCTCCTTCTTCAAACTCTTTTTCCACATGTATCTGAGTAGTCTCTGACTTTTCAGCGCTATCATCGTCTTCTTTTCTTTGTAGTTTATCTTATACAAAGATAACATCCCTGTTAATGATCACTTTGCGGGTAGTGGGATCCCACAAGCGATACCCCTTTACTCCATCAGCATACCCCAAGAATTTGCATTTCCTGGATTTTGGATCCAGCTTTGAAATTTCTTGGGCGTTGTACATCACGTACACAATACTTCCAAATACATGGAGATTTGAATAATCAACTGGTTTACCAGTCCACATCTCCATTGGTCCCACAAGCGATACCCCTTTACTCCATCAGCATACCCCAAGAATTTGCATTTCCTGGATTTTGGATCCAGCTTTGAAATTTCTTGGGCGTTGTACATCACGTACACAATACTTCCAAATACATGGAGGTTTGAATAATCAACTGGTTTACCAGTCCACATCTCCATTGGTGTCTTCAGCTCTATTGCAGTTGATGGAGCTCGATTCACCAAATAACAGGCGGTATTGACTGCTTCTGCCCAGAATGTTTTTTCTAGGCCTGCGTCCCTCAACATTGCTCTTGTTATTTCTAACAAGGTTCTGTTCATCCGCTCTGCCACTCCATTTTGTTGATGAGTATTCGCCACTGTGAACTGTCTTTTGATGTCTTCTTTCTTGCAAAAGTCATCAAATTCTTCGCTTGTGTATTCTCCTCCATTATCTGTTCTGAAACACTTGATCTTATTTCCATAATCAAGTTCCACCCGCGCTTTGAAGTTTTTGAAAGTTGAAAACACGTCTGACTTCTTCTTAATAGGGTGCACCCAACATCTCCTGGAGTAGTCATCAATAAATGAGACAAAGTATTTTGCTCCACCTAGGGACGTTATTGGTGCTTGCCATACGTCAGAGTGAACCAATTCTAGAACACTTTTGCCTCTAGAATTTGATGTGTTGAATTTCAACCGGTGTTGCTTACTTGTTATGCAATGCTCACACAAAGGAAGTGATACATTTGTTAAGCCTGGAAGTAGCTTTTGCTCCACAAGGACTTTCATTCCTTGTTCTGACATGTGTCAAAGTTTCTGATGCCATAGCATTGCCGAATCTGAACTACATGAGGCAACAGAGGCTTCTACTTCTACCAAAGTCTCTCCCTTCAGCATGTACAAGTTTGCAGCTATTTTTTCACCTTTCAGCACCACAAGTGCTCCACGGAAC